ACAGCATTATGTAATCTACTTTGCATACATTTAAAATAAAATAAGAATTGGACTTATAAGGTATTAAATGCAAATTAGCTTTTTCAGAGACACTGAAAAATATTTAAATCAACTTTTCTCCAATGCTTCTACATTCTTTTATTTTTGAAAATTATTTTTTTTTCATTTTTCAAATATATTATTTTAAAAACAAATATATATTTTTATAGATCTGTAGTATATATTTCAACTATTTAAATTGCTTCTCTGTGTGTGTGTACTTCATTTTTAAGCTATTTATTTTTTTTTTAAATTGCAACCTGGGGTAATGGACAAAGTGTGGAAGAAGGATGTACTATAGATCACTAAAACTTTTTTTTTCAGTAAATCACCATAGTTACCTTAAGTAAATTTTTTTTTCTATCTGAAGAATCATTCTAATATTGGTAGCCATTTTTTTTAATGATTCCTTCAAAATTGAAAAAAGAAATTTTTAAATCATTTGATAGTCAATAAAAATGATAGACAAAAAGCTAAAATAAATAGATATGTTTTAAATATTAGTCTTTTTTTTTTTCAAATCTTAACTGGTTACTACCTCAGTGTTAATATCAATAAATAATAATTATATACACAAATATAATAAAAATTTTAAGAATATATTTAATGTAACGTTATCATATTTAATTAAATTTATTTATGATTATTAAAGTGACTATTACCATAATTTGAATTAACTGTTTTTTTTTATTTTCTTCATCATCACATCTACATTCACTGTATCTAACAAATGATTTACTTAATTGACAATAATTTTTAAGTAATAGTTTGCATTATTTGATCATATTTGTGGGTACATATAAATATTCATAAATAATTTCAAATGCATATATATAGAGAGAAAAAGACTATAAAGTATACTTATATGTTGCTTTGCCTTTCTCCCTCTCCCTCTCTCTCTCTCTCTCTATATATATATATATATATATTTGTGCCCAACGAGATGGGTAACCAACGGAACTTAAGTCACACACCAAACGTAGGTATATGTATATTTATTAATATATATTTCCTGGCTCTGTCTAACCACATCGAGCACTATTATGTTTACATCTCTTGGCAAAATTTGGTAATTATTTATTTGCTTACCTGTGTATACAAGACAGCACGTGCATATACGGTTGCTTATATTTAGTTATTATATTTTCCTAAACCTATACCTACATATCTATATATCTATCTATCTATCTCTCTCTCTCTCTCTATATATATATATATATATATATATACATACATATATTAAAATATATATATATATATATATATATATATATATATATATATATATATATATATGCACATTTCTATGTTTCTCTCTCTCCCCATTTCTATATATTTACATATATAGAGATAAATATGAAAATAAAAATTGAACTTAGTCCAAATTGAATTAAATCAGCTGAGTAATCAGAAATATATATGGTGCACTAACTTTGTTCTTATAAAGAAAAAGTGAAACAGAAATCACTGAATTTACATGGTTCCAATAGGTGTGTGTTTTCATATATATATATATATATATAAATATATATATATATATATATAGCTGAATGTAATGAGAATGAAAATAATATATAAATTCTAAAATTCACAGCATTAATTTAAAAGAGGACTCAATACGATAGTAGAGCAATAATTATTTATAATTTTTTCATATAGACAAAAACATTTTACTCACTTGTCTATATGAAAAAATTATAGTAAATTATATATATATATATATAAAATGTAGATGGGTTATTTGCTTAATCAGTTTTGTTAACAAGTATTTTCATATCTATTTATCTGGCTCTCTTTATATACATTTTTCTCTCTCTCTTTCTATATATATATATATATATATGATAGGATGAAGAACAAATAGAAAATGTTTAGCAGTCAGTCTAACATGTTTCACTTTTATTAAAGCTTCATTCAAGAATGAAATATGGAGAAAGAAAGAAATTCTGGTATTTTTATTTTTGTGTTGTTTGATTTTCATTGGTTAATCAGGCTTTATATACATTTGACTTGTTAAGTAGCGTTAGTATATATATATATATATATTGTCATTTCTCTTATTAATACATATATATATAAAATAACATTTTTATTTTTTATAAGAAAAGGACCATCTCTCCCTCTCCATATATATATATATATATATATATATATATATATATGTGTGTGTGTGTGTGTTTAAATTGATGATTAATGAATTGACCTTTAGGCATTTCTGTAATAAAACAGATTTGATATAGGTTAAACAAAATGAATTTCACCCAATTTAAATGTTTTAAATATCTTCTATAAAATCTGGATTCAACAAATACCAGAAATGATTACCATAATTTTCAAACAATTAACATAAGGTATTCTGCTTACATTCTTCAAAACGTTTTTTTCAGTATTTGAAATCTTATTGAATTCAAGGAATCTTTGATATTCCAGGAACGAGAGTCAAATGTTTTCTTTATCTTGGTCAGATTTCTTCATTTATTTCCATTTTAATTCAACTTCCTCATATCTTTGGCATACTTTCCATTAATTTATTTTCAAACAACATCTCATGATGAAAGCAGAGTTTGTTTTATATGTTAAAAATTGAGAAACATTGTTGATCTTATTTGAAATTCATTTTTGTTTTAAAATTCTTGTATAATAATTCTTATTTGTAAAATTGATTAAACGAATTTAAATTGAAGATGTCTGAAAAGTTAAAATTTGAATTACAAATTATTCTCTATTAGTTATTTTCTTGTTTATAGAAATATTCATTCATACAAGTATATATGTTAATGAAATATATGTATGTTTGTTTAGAAGAAGAATTATATATATATATATATATATATATATATATATACATATATATATATATATTTAGTATGAGGGAGATGGTCTCTGTATTCGTCCCTTCAAAAAGTGTGGATGGTCCTGCATGAGGCTTGCAATCAAATCTCATGTGTCATTGTTGGCCTGTCTTGGCCTGTCGGTTTCCTGGAAACTGATCTGCTTGACCCTCATACGTATCGAAATCGACGTGAGTGTCGACTATATATATATATATATATATATATATATGTGTGTGTGTGATAGCTGTGTAATTTGATCACTGGTTTTAGTTCACATGAGTAAAATAATGACACTTAAAAACACTTTGAATATGTGGCAAAGTGATATATATATATATATATATATATATATATAACTTTGCCACATATTCAATAAGCACTGCAAGTTACTAGCTGTTTTTGAGAGCCATGTATATATATGTGTGTGGGTGTATGTGTGTATATCTCTATATATGTGTGTGTGTTTGTGTGTATATCTGTGTGTGTATGTGTGTGTGTATCTATCTATCTCTCTCTCTCTCTCTATATATATATATATATATGCATGTTTATATGAGAAACCATATATTTTTTTATTTACCAGACCATTGTTAGGAAAGTTAATTGCAAAATAAGAATTTTTTTATGTTAATGTAATTACACATGCGCAAGAACAAGAGGGACCCTGAAATTTTTAACTTTTTGAATCTAATTTATTTTATATATATATATATTTATATTTATATATTCCAACACATATTTAAAAAAAAATTCATTGTCACTTTTTCTTCATGCACATGTGTAGTTACATTCATGTAAACGAGCTTGATGAAATTTTTTTCGACATAGTCACTTATTTTCCTAATATAACCTGTAGACATACAAAAGTGTTTGCATATTTAGTCATATGTTTGTGCATATCTACATATATAACATTATTGATCGCCATGCCAAAATATGTCTTACATATTTCTGGATATTGCTCAAGTCATTCATTTTATAGATAATATTCATGTATTTTCTGTCAATATATCACAGCATATAATTTCCACAAGCAAGTGGTAATCTAATAAAAACAAAGAGCTAAATGCAAATTAAAATACACAGCCTAAAATTTATTTATTTTTTTTTTTTACAATGGTATCCACCCTGTACAAGCTCAAGAGCCACTCAATGTAAAGCTTATGTGGATATGTGGGGAAGATAACAGTTAACCGTAGACTTGAATATGTTAAGATTGTTGTGATCAGAGAAGCATTGTTTTGTGGGAGGAAGCTGCTTGAGTGGAACTTAGGTCTAACCAATAGAATATGAAGGATGATGATAAGAAAAATGAACTTTTCAGTGCACATAGCCCTTCATTAGTGTCAGTTTCATGTAATTTCTGTAATCCTCAGGTAGCAAGAAGGAAATATTTGTGAATTTTTATCTGAGGATTACAAAAGCTACATGAAACTGACACTAATGCAGGGCTATATGTGCTGGAAAGGTTTTTGTCTATGTATGTCTTTTATATTTATATTAATTGTTAAATACCACTGTTTCTATTTGGTTTTGTATACATACATATATATATATATATATATATATATATATATAATGATAATACTCGTAATCAGTGTGGATATTTCCAAAAGAATATAGATCCAGGGAGAGCTCTATGTCCAAGACAGAGCAATAATTAGTAAACAATAGATTTGTATTATGAGCTCTGAAGAGTTGGGGTCAATTTTCCAACCTCAGTGAAATAAATATAATCTCATGGCTTTTTAAGGGTTTGTGTTTTTATATATATATATATATATATATATATATATATATATATATATATATATATATGTGTGTGTGTGATACATGCTTGTCTCTTTTGATTCATGATTGGCGAGGCAGATTATTCACACAGTTGACTACTAATTCTTCCTGCAGTACACTAATTGCCAACCAAGGCTATAGTCCATCTTGCTATTAAATCAAACAATCCAGTGTATATCAAATTTGACAGAACTTCTGCCAACAAAGTTCTCAATATAAAACTAGACCAAAAGAGTTATTATTAAAATAAAAGTAAAAACATTTGTCAATACTGATTACATCATACAGTCATTATTGTCAAAATTCCTGATGAGTGATTCAAATATTAGAAAACAC